TTAGTAAACAGAAGAGATCATTTATACCATCTGCACCTTAAATGCCATTTTGAGTGGTTCAGGAAAGGTCACTTAAAATTGGCAGTCCAACACCAGCTCTATATTTACTTGGGATTTTAGTGCATTTAATCATGGAGTGTGTAAAATTTACAACATCCTAATTCATATGTGCAAGTCCTTTTTTCACTGTTCTCTACCTAGGGTGCTGCCCCAGGGCTGGGTCTCCAGCCCAGCCACCAGCATGGCTGTTTCCACCATGAAGGGGGCTGCACCTGCCCAGGGGGGCTGTTCCCCAGCCCATCACCGTGGCAGGGCCCAGTTGTGCCTGGCTGAGCCGGGAGCTGGGAGCCAGTGGGGGATGTGTCCTGTAGGTCTCTGCTGGGAGCCCCTCACTCTTTTCCTGACTCCGGGGCTGTGGAGCCTGAGTGCCAGAGTGAGCACCGTGCCATGGGGCCACGTCCCATGGGACCGTGCTGGGGAAGGGGGGCATCAGGGTGCCCCAGAGCCCGGGCAGTGGGCTGCAGGGACCCCAGCCTCCAAGGTCAACTTCCAGCCGTTCCCTCCCATCAGCCGCACCATCCGTCAGCCCTGCTGAGCCATCAGTAGCACCAGCCCATGGTCCCATCAGTGTTAGGGTCAAGGTGAGGTTTTGCTCCTGGGGGGAGCAGAAAAGTGTCTTTTCTCTCCCGGCATCCCTCGGGATGAGAAGCAGCAGCTCTAAATAAATAATAGTAATAAATTAAATAAATAGAGGTGAACGTCACGAAGTGAAGGAGGAAAGTGTCTCCTGGGTCTGGAAGAGGTCCCCAGGTGAGTCCCCCGCAGAGAGACCTGCCTGGCTGCGGGGGGGGCTCAGGGACCCACGGGCGAGGAACCAGGTCCCAGTGAGGGCCCGGCTGGATCCGGCCCTTCCCAGGGAGTGCCGGGGTACCCTCCTCCCAGGTGGGGAGTGAGTCTGTGGGGATGTGTCCTAGAGCCACAGCGCAGCCACAAACCGGCCGGCTGCAGCTGCAGGACAGCTGGCGCAGGGACTGGGACCAGGATGGGGATGGCAATAGGGATGGGGACAGGGATGGCAATAGGGATGGGGATGGGGACAGGGATGGTAACAGGGATGGGGATGGCAATGGGAACAGGGATGGGGACAGGGATGGGGATGCGCCACAGGGGGCTGGAGGGCTAGTTCCCTATTGCACAGCTGTGTTCGGAGCCCTTGAAGCAGGCGGACTCATAGTGCTTGTTGAGGTACGACTTGAGAGCGAAGGTCTTCTCGCACTGCTTGCACTTGTAGTGCTTGAAGGCGGAGTGGGTCTGCATGTGGGCGCGCAGGTTGGAGCGGTCAGCGAAAGCTTTCCCGCAGTGGGAGCAGCCAAAGGGCTTCTCCCCGGTGTGCGACCGCATGTGGCCCTGCAGCAGCCAGGGTCGGCTGAAGGCTTTGCCGCACACGTCGCACTTGTGCTTGAGGTTGTGGGTGAGGACGTGCATGGCCAGGGCGGGCATGGAGACGTAAGCCTTGCCGCAGGTGGGGCATTTCCTTGCCATCTTGCTGTCCAGGCTGCGGTGGGTCTGCTTGTGCCGGCTGAGGTTGGAGGAGGTGGCATAGGTCTTGCCACACTCGGGGCAGGAGTGACGGTGGCTGCCGCGGCGCTGGCTCTCACTGCGCCGGCGCGACCGCCCGTCTGTGATGAAGAAGGCGTCCATGGAGTAGCTGTCCGTCGCTGCCGCCTCCCCGTTGCAGTAGCGGGCGGAAAAGCTGGACTGAGGGCTCTCGGGGTCGCTGTACTCCTCATGGCCAGGTACGTAGGCTGGGTCCGGTGGCGGTGGTGGCAGACCCTGCTTCTTATCGGTGTCATAGCCAGCGGGTGCCAGGCAGTGCTGGAGGTACCCTGCGGGGACGACACAGCAGGGTCACCGTCCCTCTGGGCCAGCCCCACCGGGGATGGGGGAAAGCTACGAGCCAAAGATTCCCCTTGGGGTTGCAGAACTGGGGCTGTTCCCCCCGGCACTGGTCCCTGTTCCCACTCAGCCCTGGGGGCTGTCCCTGAGCACCGGTGCTGCCTCGTCTGCACAGGGGCTGAGTCCACCCTGGCTCCTGTCCGCATCTGCCGGCAGGATGGGTCCCATCCCGTGGGGCTGCCCTGGGTGGGAGCCGGTGATGGGGCTGCGGGACGTCCAGCTGCGCCTGCCCCAGTGCTGCCCCGGCTTCAGGCAGCCCCCGGGGGCCCTTAGGCGCCAGACAGC